GTGTTCGTTCAGACAAAATTCTCAGCAAGTCTATTCGACTGGGGATGCCGTGGAGCAGCAAACTGATGTCGACATCCGAGACCTTTTAAACATTCCTCGAGGAATTTCGCAGTGAAGTGTGTGCCGTTGTGAGTGACCAAAGCAGTTGGTACAACTTCATGGCTGAACACTTTCCACAACGCTTGCTGTGTGAATTCGCAACTTGGAGACGTAGTTAGAAAAACTTCGGGCCAACGTGAATATGCTTCAATAACGACCAAAGCATAGTACTTGCCGAGAAAAGGACCACAGTAGTCAGCATGATTTCGTTGAAACGATTCAAAAATAACTGGTCACGGATACAACTACGAAGACTTGTTATGTACACATTCAACACAATCCCTAGTAGTATACTCGATATCGGCATCCAGTTCTGGCCACCAGCATGACAAGCGTGCAAGGGATTCCATTTTTTCAACACACAGATGACCAGAGTGTAAATCTGCAGGAACAGCCGCGGCGCCAAAATGTGAGAATTAAGTTTCGCGCGTATATCGGTATAACCAGACAGTTTTAAATACTACTCCGTTTGCTGTACGAGGAACCCCACGGAACACTGATAGCTTCATCGACTGATAATCAATTATATGCATAGCGTTCTTTGTGTATGAACAAGCAGAACTTACGCATCATTTATAAGCATACATCAATAAGCGCAAAGCCATCATGATTCTGCTAAATAGGTCAGATCCACATGCAAAACTTGCAGCCAAATGACAACGGAAGTTCAGCGAGGGGAACAGAGGTAATGGATCAGGCCAAAGTTAGTGGAGTCAGAAAATAGTTAATTGTCAAACAATGGTCAAATCAGCTTTCATGGAAGGAATAAACCGACCCCTCATGAGGATCAGCTAAAGATAGACACACCTCGTGTATCCGGTACGAACGCGGAGCCAGCCCTCTCACGCCGAGTTGCGGCATCGTGGAGCCCATGAATATGCAGCCTCTAGCCCCCGTAGCTCGCTACTTTTTCGCCTTCTTGTCTGTCCCGATTATGTTACAGTGAAGGCACAGATGCTAGAGTGAACCTGACAGCCATTGGAGTAAATCTGATACGTTCTCTGAACTCGATGCATACAGATGCAAAACCCAAAGAACCGCCAAGGTCAACGTAGGTCTAATTGACTCCCGGCGGCAATTCAAAGTTATCATTGTCGGGACCTGCATAGCCACCCAGGATGGAGCCTGGTCAGAATCTCGCTTTTGACAACAAAAGCGAGCGGAATATTAAATTTGGAAGTACGGTGTCCGAATATAAAGGCACTTTAACACATCAGGACCAGAAAGGTAACGTTATGGAACCCTTGAGGACTCACACAAATCGTCGAGAGGCCAAAAACCTGACGGTTTCTCTTCCTAACGCGCAGGTGGAGTCAACTGGACTTTCGAACACTGGACTGCACCATCTTCTTCCCAATGTTGATTTATATTCTAGAGTCAAACAGAACCATATGCGCCGGACTCACTCTGATGGTGACATTCGACAAGAAAGTGTGCCAATCAGCCATTCTTTCTCACCACCTTATTCGAACTTTGCACGCTACTTACCATGTTTATCAACACCGACGGAGAGCTCAACCTCGTCTTTTGCATCTCTTTCTGTTTCAGGAAGTGTGCTTACCTCCGACAGTAGTTTTCGGCTACCGATATCTGCCAGTCAACTTTCATTACCGGAACCCCCCGATGGAGGGTGGGGCTGGGTTATTGTTTTTGCAGCCTTCATGGTCCACATGATTACAGAGGGCGTCATTGTGTCATTCGGCATTTTTATAGAGGACCTAGCAGAGGAATTTGAAGAGTCAATGAGTGCTACTTCTTGGGTCGGATCCTTCTCTTATGGTATTCCTGCTCTAGTGACCCCAGTTTCCTCATTCTTCCTGAACCGCTTTGGGTGTCGCATCACCTGCATGCTGGGTGCTCTTATAAGTGCCATTGGTTGTCTCGCTGGATGTTTCACGAACTCTCTGTTGGCGTTGGTGTTTACCTTTGGAATTCTCTCTGGCTTGGGATCCAGTCTCAGCATGACTGCAGCGCTTGTAATTGTGTCCCTTTATTTCGATGATCGTCGAGCAACAGCCACGGGTTTGTCTATAGCAGGGACGGGCGTTGGTGCACTTGTGTTTGCTCCCGCTGTGGAGTTTTTCATCAACATTTATACCTGGCGTGGAACATTCATGCTCATGGCGGGAGCTCTTCTTCATATAGCCATTTGCGGTGCGTTGATGCGTCCAGTCGAGACAAACATGGAGCGACGACTTCGCCAAAGATTGGCTTGGCTTGAGCATTTCGCCAAAGAGTCGGGCCTACCTCCGCTAAGTAAAACGGCTGACTATATAGATAGCGATGTTCCTGGTCGCATTAAATTGTTGCGAGATAGCCTTCTTGCCACAAACAAATCATCTGGACGAGCACATGCTGTTGTTCGGATACCCAATGATGTCTGTTCACGACCCCACATGGTAACCCAAGAAACATACAGACCTAATTTATTGCCTCTTTCTGGTCACACAAAGAACGAGAAGTTATTGCCCTATTCTGTTAGTCCCAGTTTTTGTGATGACGCTTGCCGGAATAACGAGCAACTTGGAGGACACAACGCACAGACCAATAAACAGAACGGTTGGATAGAAAAGGTGGTCAAGTTGGAGCCTGTTCCGGAGTATGAACTCATATTTCCAACTGTAATTCGTAAAGCAGAGCATTCATTAAACCATCCACGGAGGTCGAATTATTCGTACCTACAAAACAGTGCTGAAATTCCACTGAAATCCAACCGGAAAAATGATTCCGTCTCTCATTTCAATGCATCGTCAGCATGTAAACGTGGGATATTTTATTCAACCTTCCACATTTCTAAGTGCGGTATCAGTAAGCACGGTAACCTGACTAAATCGGGATCAGTACCGGACTTTCCTTATGATGAGCACAAAAACTTTCAAACAGCGTCTGATGGTACAACTGCCGCAAGTGAAGACGACGCGGATGAGCTTGTTTGGGGACAGATGAGCTTGTAACATTTGGTGACAAAAATGCCTGTCTTTTTTCACATATGCAGTCAAATGAGGAAAAACCCTTGCACCTTGAGAATACTGATCTTAATAGGTTTCAGGATTCTCAATTGGGGTTTAATCGAAGATCGGACGTCATCCAAAAGGGCGTAGCGCTCTCAAACCTGATCCATATACCGACACAGCCCGGTGATGTTGGGCAAAAACATTGTGGACGCATGGATGTGTTTTATCGTGCCCCTCTCTTGAAAGCATTTGGAATTACACGCGAATCCCTCTGTAGGGCGTTGAGTTTGCCAGATTTAAGCCAGGTGCATCGAATTAGGCGTCGCTCAGGTAGTGTGTGTTCCTCAGATTCATCGTCTCTGGAAGAGAGCTGTATCGGTTCAAACTTTTGTGGCTGCATCAAGCGAGATGCATCTGGTCAGGATGATGTTCCATGTGAGGATTGTTTCATCATTTTCCCACTCACTCAGCTTCTTAATTGTTGCGGATTATCCATGCCAGATTTAAGCGGACGTCACCTATGCAAACAGCTATGTGATCTTCGTCTGTGTCGTCGCTTTAATTTTGACCTCTTTATCTTTTCAAACGTTTTGCTTTACTTCTGGTATAATGTTACGTACTTCTTTCTGGGGGTTCATGCACTTGATTTGGGATTTTCGGAAACACAAGCGGCGCTACTTTTTTCTGTGTTGGGTGGTGCCAACATGGTCGGAGAGATAGTGGTGGGCTTTCTTGCGGATCGCGAATGGGTCGATGCACTCATGTTGTATCTGGTCATGCTACTGGCTTGTGGTATATCTACCGCCGTCGTCCCGTTGCTGGCATCATTCTTGTCCATGTCCTCGTATGCAAGTGAGTTAAAACTTATATATTTTGCAAGGGTAGTTCATACCAATGTGTCCAAAACGTTTATATTAATACTTTTGGCTTCTTTGTGCGTTATTGTGTTTGAAAAATCATGAGTTTCGTCGTTTTTGTAGCTCAACACGATTCCTAAGACGAGAACTTGCAAGGCTCATGGAGGAGAATTCGAATGCATACTCAGATTCAATTAAAAGCTTCTTCGTCAACTATGACATTACAGTATCGAATCCGGATAGTTTCGAGGGTTTATCGACCTCTGCACCACTGTACGCGATTTTTGAGGTATAGTTAATCAAAGGGACGTTATTTGTGAAATTAGATTGTTAATTGTTCAACAGTCATGGCCGCGGGCATTCGGAAACTGAACCACACAATGTTCCGTTAACTGAACAAGTAATAGCGACTATCAGGTACACCCCATAAATTATCTACATCTAAATCTACTAAGCTGTATTTAACGGGGGGCGGAAGACATCAGAGTTGCGTGTAGTTTAGTAAGCCGCAATATTCCATCGTCTAAATTTACATTAACTTTGAGCTTCCTACCATGAATTCATCGTTATATACTTTCAGTGGTTGGCAGACTATTGTACTATTCTTCGAAGGTGTAGACGCCTTGGCTTTGGTCAACTGTTCACGCAAACCACGTTACTTAACATGTCTGGAGTGGTCTGTGTTTCAGCATGCGTTTTACACCCCTACACTCAGCGTTTCTCTTTAAAGCCTGTTTATGTATCTTGGAATCTGCATAATTTGTGGTTGTGCTGTAACAGATGAAGGCACTGCACGCATCGACAAGCCATGACGATGTAGTTCAGATAAGATAATAATTTGCGTCAGAAACGGATTTCATTGAAGCAGAAGGGTCTGTAATTAGTGTTACTTCATGGCTGTGCGAGTCTAGCTCAAATTTCTCGAACGTTACCAAATGTTTGACCATTAGTGTCTCTGCCATTCAGCAAGCGCTAGCTGATCGAAGCATATTTTCATGCAAGGAGTCCGTAAGTGAATACGAGTAGAAGTCACAAGAACTGAGGATGAACCTTGTCAGCTTAAGGGGGTTGAGGTTTACTACGTAAGTCATACGACAGCCTGACAAAGCCAGCTAATGTACACTTTAAACTATTTTTAGTGATAGACCCGTGACGGACGGACCAAGATGAAGCGACGCGAAAGCTGAGTTCTGTGTGATCTTTTCGATTAAGCCTTATGTGATTCTTCTTGAGCGAGGTTGGAAGCTCTGCAGGACTTTGTAAGATGCCGATACAAGTAATGGGCATGTCATTTATTGGCTTAAACATGTCTGTTGTTTGTTGGGTTTGTGTTTCCGGGGCCTCGCAGAGGATGGCGGGTCAGCCTTTTCGGTAGCGTCTTGCTCCTGTATTGTGCTCAGGTGTGTTCATCTCAATACTTTTGAAGGATCAAGGCATCATCCTCTTCGCTATTTCCCCTGGAGATATAAGATTTATTAAAACAATTTTTCAGTTCACCAGTTTGTCTCCACTTTGTATTAGCGCTTTGTTCTTTTGTATTTGTGTAGTATGTGGCCCCCTGTGCATTGCTATCCATGCTGATGATGATGCGTATTTTTCATGGATTTCAAGGATTTTTTCACTTGACCTCACATTTTGTCACTTTAATGTGTTGGAAGTACCGTATCAAACGTTTTTCGGACTTAAGTTAAAAGAATGGTGAACTAAAAGTGTTGACAGAAATTTGTCAAGGAGCCGTTCCACTGGCGTGGGTTTTATACCTCGAAATTAATTTTACCGTAGGTGAGCTCAATGGAAATTCCCTGCTTCTTGAAGACATTATAAAATAATATTTTAAGCTTTCAAATGATATCCCCTGTTGATATCGACTCCCTAGTTGCTAGTGTTCGGTTACATAAGGAGGCTGAATGCTTCTGTATTTTTGTTTACATTGGGACCACTCGGTTGGGCTCTGTGGCTGAAATGTCTAGTTATTTTACTTTGTTTTGTACAAAAAACGTTCACTTTGAATTTTAAGGCTGCTATCTTAGATGACATGAAATTATAGCGTCACACAGTCTGCAAGGATCAACTCTGAGTGAAATTCTTGCTTCTGGATTAAAAGAACTTTTGACTAGTGTATTTCACCTTTGAGTAAAAATGATTGCTAGGCACAAATATTTAGCGCTGAGAACTGGATGTTGACGATGTTGCTTACTACGTTCAGCATGAGGGAGTAAATTTCATGAGTTGGGTTACGTGTCTTTGTGGCTGAGTGAGTAATGACTTCACCGTGAAAGAATTGTCCATTTTAACGACATGCTGCATAATTCACTGAAAACAGCAAATTCATAAAGAGGTGGTGGATAAGCTTGTGCTGGAAGTTGAGTCAGTCTCGCGCAAACAGCAAATAAATCCCAGTGATATGGCTGAGGAGTGTACAACGTTTGCTCATGCACCGTCTGTCAAATACGGAGAACGAGTAGATGATAGATAGATGATGATAGAGAACGGATAGATGATGGATAGACTGAATGGTGAATATATTCTATAGAGAACCATTACAACTTCTTCTTGAGGTATGTTTTTCATTATTGAGAGTATTGGTTGAGCTGATAAATCAATGGCACATTAGGATACTTCCTTTCTCGGTTTGGCCACCCGAATCGATTGGATGGATAGTTTTTTTCTAAACCATAATGTGATTCTTTATAATTCTTAATATGTTTACTCAAAGAGAGCTCGTTTTCTTGATAAGTGACGGATTTTCTACTTACAGGTAAAAACCGTAACACATCAGGATCATCACTTACCAGCACTTGACTCTGGTAGGTGATGGTTGTTCACCATTCGTCGACTAATAAAAAATGTCATGATTTTGAAACAGCATGGAAGGCAGATCAAAGGCAACTTAATTTCTTACTGGAAGAGTTGACATAGATATCTGATGTTTAACTCTCATCAACAGTACATTCTACTGACATATTGGGACATATTGGGCTTTAGGCTCTAATTGAATCAGCATCTTTACGGACCTTGCTCAACCTAAGACCCAAGACAAATATCATTAGCACTCTCAGTGAGAACCTATAGCTGTTTCACTACTGTACAGCTATCGCACGTATGATGGGTACAAAATTGTGCGAGTCGGCTACATGTCACCACTTGCACGTTGCCACGTTCTATGTTATGTCGTCATGATCACATACAATGATACTCACTGGCACATAGTTTGTAATGTGTTATTTACGTTTTATCATGACCGATCCCCGCAACCCCTTTACTAGCAACGATCGGTGATAGAGACTGCTTTTGGTACCAGATTGTGACTGAACTTGTATAGCGCATGTTCTGATACCATTAAACTGACAGGTTTTACTTGCTGTCAAACTGATTCCTAGCCCTTACGTAACATTTGACCACTAAGTGCTCCATTGTGGATGCACCAATTTACCCATAGCATGTAGTTAAAGTGCATTTTGGATATCCATCCAAGCAACCATAGATTGAGACTGGATTTGGTCATATTCAGGATATCTCAGATCAGCTTTGGTGGGGCTTATTTCTGATAACAAATGATATTTTGACAAATATACTTCCTTGGCTGTCTGTATGTTGACCTTGTCTATCACAGTGCAAAAGCGAGCTACTCCGCTAAGCAGTGGCGCCCTTTTCGCGTACAGCTGCCGTGCGACCCAAAGGCTGATTAACTACCAGGGCATCCTAACCTGAACTGGGCTGGTTGAAAGGCTAGAGTTAGGTTAAAACACAACTAGATGCATCAGCTATCGATGTAGCTGGAGCTTGTGCTGTTACCATAAGCTTTTATTGTTAGAAAAAGCGGACAGTTCCTCTGTACGTTCTCCTCCGACGTGTCTTCTTTTATTGGGTGAAAGAGTGTGTGCCGAGTAATTTCCTACGCCTGCTGCTGGATCACGGGTCTCCAGCCTACTCCCCATGCACCAAGAGCATCAACCATGAACCGAACACTTATTACCAAGGGTGAATGTTACGAATCCCATAGGCTGTTCGTTGAATACTTCCCGAGCTGCAAGACATACCGTTAATTGACAGATTCCTCAATCGGAACATGTGTACGTTAGAGCACCGAAGAGCACTCATGGACCTGCTTGTTGCGTACAAGGTCTCCGATTGAATACGGAATCCACATGTATGAATGCCCTACAGTGGGGAAAAACAGTGCAAGCTGGAGAAAAGCAGGGTTCGAAAAATACTGGCAGCTATTTCACCTCCGGCTTGGATAGTTGATCGGCTACTATCGTTCAGGCGCCCACTGTCAAAGATTCAAAAGTTTGAGAGATCAACGTCCAGTCTTGAATTCACAACTTGAAAGATCGGTTCGATACTTGATGTTGCCACCTCTGCACTACTACCCAATTAGATGAAAGGCGCGGAACCAACTGTCAAGTGCAGTACAGACAGATTATCAATAAGGATAAGGGCCTTTTAAACGGGCTAGTGATTGGAATGTCTGCAACACAAGTCGGACGCTGTTGAGGCTCAAAACGCATCCCTCGCTTTTTCTTCCTTTTACGAGTTTATTAAAGTAGCATGTCTTAGCATTGTTGAATAGCAAAAATATCTTGTTCTGGTTCATCTTGTCGAAAAATTGTCACTTGATTTTACCACACAGCCCCACCTGTAAACTCCATCCTTCATTAGTCATTAAGGATCAAAACTCAGCCGTTTAGAAATGCTGGCCAGCGGTTGGCTGATTTATACGATTACAGGTCCTCAGTCTTGTTTTCTGCTGTACGCTTCTGCCAACTTATAAGGACAGTTTTAACACAGTTGTTACGATTTATTTTGCTGAACAGTGTTCAGGGGTGTACCTCTTTGGGTCTGTACGTCATTCCCTCATGAGTGGCCTTTGCGAAGAAGTGGATGTTTGCTTTTTCTCACGAATGACCCATATTTGGTGGTGATGGCTAACGAAAATGCTTTTTACTCTCTTGTTGGAATGACCCCCCGGTAAAATTGTGGTATTTCAAGGGATGATTGTGAATCCGGTTCCCTTGTTATAGGCAACGTCTGAGAAAGTGGATCTGTGCAAAAACTCACCCTTGTGGCACTCGGAGGAAAATCGGTCAATGAAATTAAGTGTTTGCTGTCTACTACTACAGGCGATTATGACGAGTTTCAAACCTACTCGGAATCTGGCACTGGGATATCGGAGTTTGTTCGTATTTCAGGACGGTTGATGAGAGCCGAATGCGTGATTTAATCGAATACAATTCTGGGGTCGAGATAGGTCAAGTGGTTAGAGCGCGAAATTACTCACGCAAAGGTTCATGATTCAAACCCGACCTCTGCATCTCGACTTCCTCTGTCTAGGCTTGGGCAGTCTGGAAGTATCTCAGCCCTCGTACTTCCCTACGGTAGCATGGCAGCTATGCACCGGAAGGGCATTGCAGCTGAACGAATACAATTCCGCATGGCTCGGAAGACGGACAATACTTCTATGTTCCTGTTTCTGAAGGCACATGCCTGGATCGTTTTGTGAATGGATTATGGAAAAGTCAGGTTGAGGAGGTCGGTTTGAATGGCATAGTCTTGCACCGCATCTATTGGTTCGGTAGAGTCAGGGACGCTGGCGGTTGTAGGGATGCACAAAATAGGCCCATAGTTGAAGAGGTGAACTGCTTTTATCTGATGTACCGTTATCTTCTGTCGGAAATGTAGACGGTACGAAAAGTGGCGAAGCTTTGCGCTGCACCACCGATCAGGCGTATTTTGTGACGTTTCCCTCATTTTGCATAATCAGCTTTATTTGAGACCGGCATCCAAACTGATGGTCTTCGGTTATGGGGTCGCCAGTCACCCTCCAGCTTAGCGCAAGGCTGTTCGAAGATGATCTGTAGTTTTTGGATAACAAGCTTTGTCGATTGGTAAGCCAACCCAGTCTTCACTGAGGATTTTGTATATATTGGCACCCGGTCATTAGTTCCCAATATTCCTTTTCATTTTAGTCTGTTTGAACAAATCTGATAGGACTTAGTATCCTGGATAGGCTTAGCGCGGCCTGCTCAGCAGGACTTGCGAGCGAAGCACTAAGCTTAGACTCCACCGATTTTCGTTTTTTGACTGTTATGCATTTTTAGTGTAGGCCAGCCATTCAGCATATCTAGCGAATCACTTGTTCAGAATACCGCAGCTAAGCAACTCATCGGCTAGCGTGGCTATCATCCAAAGCAACTTCACTTGTCTCCAATTGATGGTTGGTTGTAGATCCGAGATCAGCGGGTCACTTAGACAGGCAAATTGTGTTCTCTGTACCAGGTCATTCGCCGGATATTCGCTGTTGCCTTCCAGTTCATCAGGAACTGCCGGCAAACGAAGGTGCCGTCTTGGAGTCCCACAACGGGTATATTAAACAACAGATCTTTTAGGGTCGTTTTCTGAGGAGTACCGAGTGGTTACGTCAAATAGTTGACATAGAGCTGTGAGCTCTTCAAACTAATATATTATGGTTATCCTGAAACTGTGTGAGTAGTGAATCTCTTAGTCAGACAAACCAATTTCGTTTTCCCCCATCGTCGCAGATTATTGAATCTAATTTATCTCCAACCATATTTTTATACTGACTTACTACTTCTGTGGATGTATGTGATATGCAGTCTAATGTGGCCTTTGATTTTGTTTCCATCTAATCATCAATGACATGTTATTCCAGGTTACACGTGCAGTTATTTCTGGTTGAATGATTTTTTAAGGTCTTCTGTTATCAGTTAGGCTAAGCAGGCCGTTTGCAACCCACTGTAATGCCATCCTCAAAGTTTCAGGTAAGCATATTCCCTTTCCTGTAACTGCCTTTTGCTTTTGCTAATTAAACCGCAAGAATGGAAAAGAACTTCAACCAGTTAGACAAAACTAAAAATCTTTCATTTATCAATAACATTTGTACCTCACTCATTTCCATAAAGTGCCATCTTTCAGCGAAGCCCGCGTGACTTTCGGCAGAACCGGCCAATATGCCTAATTTGGCGTTGCCGACTCAACAGTGTGCTTTGGCGGGATGTTGTCTAAGTGACCTACTGGTTTGTCGACCTCTTTTCGGACGTCGTGCTAGGTCAGGTTCGAATGAACAACATTGAGAAGGAGATGAGGTGAGAAAATCGCACTTGCACCCCTTAAAATGGTGGAACAACGGATATGCACGGTGATTGCAGGGCTAAACATGCATTCTGCCTAAAAGTATGCGGTGGATTAAGGCGAGCGTTTTCCAGCGTCGTACAGGGTTAGTAGACAACTGAGGAAGTCCACACGGATAGTGCACTCAGGGAAAGAAACTAGCCGAATTGAGTCGCCAAATTTTCCTTCACTGCAGGTGGAACGTAATAGATGATCACGCAGGACACAGCTCACCATCCTGGAAGGCAAAAGTGATTGGTCTCTGCACCGTTGCTTTGTTTGTCCATCCACCACACTCATAGTTGATATCATAAACTCAGACTCTTGTTTATTTGAATTAGTTAATTCCAAAAAGTTTTCGCATAAGAGACTAATAAACCGATCACCAAAAGTGAAAATTTACGGGAGAATTCGGTCTTTCTGTACAGGTATTGTATCGTTCGTTTTATTAGAGTGACGCTGCACGGTGCCTTCATTCAATTTCCATTCAGGAGATTAAAGGAAAGCGATTCGAGGTGTATTGGAAGAAGCTGACAAATTGGAACAGATATCGACGGTATTCCCACCAAAAATTTGGTGAGGATGAAGTCATAGTTAGGTAATGTATACAGTTGGGTTAACACTAGAAGAAATGCCGTAATATCTGGATCCCTTAACCTGTGATCTTCCCTTATATGCATCGCAATCTGTCCGGTCCGTGTTTCAGTAACGTCTAAGGATAGTAGACCACGCAGCACGATTTCTAGAGATAGGCCGACTAGGAAAACTATATGTGGCCCACGCAGTTCTCTGTGCGTCACGAATCCTGGATGGATAAATGCGCACTGTCTGGTATTGCTAATGTGGGTACATGTTTGAAATTCAAGTGCATTCAACTTTGTAAATGGTCTTTCCAGGGAACAATGTGACGCAATAGTCCGACTCACTCAGTTCAGGGGACAATAACGGCTGATGGGGAGTGTAGTTTTTTTTCAACACATTGTAATAGCACAACGGCGAAGAAATTACCCCGGTGTTACACATCTTGAAGGAGCCTCAGCAAGAAATCACGGATGTCCGCGTCGACTTTGCGCCGTCGGTCAGTGTGCACCTTCAAAGCAGGATCCTCAGTGCATAACAGAGCGAGTCCACTGTGTGCAGAAAGTCAGACTCGATTACTTTTTAATCCTCAGAAGTTGGTTTGAATCAAGCAGAAGGAATGTTTCTACATACGTACTGTGCGGAGAAACTGATGCCTCTATGCTTGTGAACAGTCTCGTTCTACTGATACTGTGAGTGATCTTGGTCATTGGCGAATTACGGCAATTTGACGGTTTTATTCTTTGTATCTGATGAATGCATTTACAGCGAGGCGTAGAAGATTATACTCCATGCACCGGTATTTCTAGGTTTTACGGGTTACAAGTGACCAGGTTGGAAAAAGGGTTTACACTGTCACGTGATCCTAATCCAGCCTTTCCTCCACATCTTGACAGGCGTTTTCGGCTTTGGATTGGCCTCCAACGATGCGCTGTGCACGATCCTGTTGGTAGAATTTGTCGGGCTGCACCATCTCACTAATGCTTTGGGAATGTGCTTCTTTTGCCAGGGTGTGGCAAACATCATTGGACCTCCAACCATAGGTGAGTTTCAGGTTTTCCTAAGCTTGTATTAAGTGTAAAATCCTACATTCAGATTGACTGCCCACTTTGGTTGACAAGGCTTTTTTATTACGCAGCAACTTCTGGTCAGTGTGCTCTTCACTCCTCAATACTGAGGACGTTCTTTCCCGCGATGCTATACGATGGTCCTTTGTTTTATGTTTCGCTTAAACTAATTTGGTCGATATTTTCATTCATATTTCGAGCTCTTGGTAATACCATCCCCTTGCTCGAAATATCAGGAACGGCGTGATAATGAAAGTTAAGCATACTTCCAGCATCAGACCGTCGTCTAGCCAATGCTGTTTAACAGTAATGCGCAAATGTGGTACTCCTCTGGAAGTAGCCCTCAAAACTTGACACCACCTAGCAAGCATTTTAGGGGAAGCCTTTTGAACGTCCCTAATGGCTCTTAACCCTCGTTGAACCCGATCTCCAATTGAAAAAATGGTCGTCGGAACCTACAAGGTTTTTTCTCGTGAGAGCGCACTATCTAATTGATAGGTAATGTAAAGTGTAGAAGTAATTATTTCTTTCATTCACTCACTGAGTTGGTTAGTGTCTCTCCGCTAATCTGATCAAAGTACCGCAGTGATATGCCTGTGATCATAAGGCGAGGCTGTGAGTTTCCGCCCCCAGTCATTGACTTTGCCTTCGTGTTCATTGCCTTCTAAGCGTTGAGGGCAAGCCGAGAGTACTTCTTTTGAACGCGATCAGTGAATATCTGTTTTTGTTTTCAGCGTCTTGGTTTTCCGTGTTATTCGCGATAAAATTGGACTTATCACAATAGGAATAGGATTATAGTGGTCCTCAATGAGCTATCGAATACGCGTTTTGGCCCGATTAGACTTCGTTTGATGGATGTCGTGTGTGATATCAGTTAGCAGTTTCCACCGCTACTAGCATCAGCATGCAACCTTCGATTTCACTTGTGCGCATATCATACAACAATTGACAAAGCTTCATCGTTTAAAACCGTGTTGGGAATAACCAGAATTACATATTCCACGAGCCGCTAGAGAGATTGGTGCTCTTGATCTGCAACTGAACAGGATGTGTCGTCACTATCTTCACTAGCTGCATTTGGACAAGTATGTGCGAAACGAGTGAAGTTGTGTACAATTTGCATATTACACAGACTTTGGGATGTGTGGAGTCGACGTTGGGGAAAAGTTATCAAAACTGGTGCATGTGGGTCGTCATCAGCTTTTGAGGTAACTGATGTGATGGCTTTTCCGCGCTTGCGGAGGATGCCACAAGATAGAGTCGCGAAGGTTCACCACTAGAATCCTCTCCACCAATACTTATTAGACTATATAAGTGAGTGAGAAAGCGTGCACGATTGCTCATATGGCAACAACCATTGGATATCGTTCTGTACCTGAACCTCAGAGGTATTAACACAACAGCCAGCGTTACATGTAAGGGTAGCCCCTGGGCGAAATTACTGAACTGTACGGACGCTATCAATCAACTGCATGTGACCGATGGTTACCACCGGAGTGTCAAGAGCGCAAATCTCTCCAGCGGTTCTAGAAATATATAATTTTGCTGACTGAAGCAGGTCTTCAGTGCTCTTCGTTTTTTCAGCACAGATTAACTTCAGATCATCAAAATTCCTAGTCAAACCGCTGCTCACTTGGTACTTGATATTCACCGGCATAAGCCACGCTCATTTAGAAGAGGGTTGAAAAGAAATAGTTGGGTTTATTATAGACTCACTGAGGTCTGATTTGCTGACGAGAATGTCTATTCCAAACCGAGCTCAGTCTTAGGACCTTTCTTCACTATGTTGTGTTCAAACGATACTTGAATGGGAGCTACGGAATAAAGACTAGCACAGATTGCACAGTACATGGCTCCAGTCTGCGCGCGCAAATGTGGACTCTGTAATAAATATCTAGTGAAAGAGATTTTGCGTAGAACATAAGGTTGACGGAAACTCCCGGACTGCACCCTACCTGATGAGCCCCAAGCAGAGCGAAACCGGTCGTGGGCTGTCGATGAGTTTTCAGCAACCTTGTGAGTAGTTTTCTTCTTGAATTACTTTAGTTTAAAATACTCAACCGGTGAAATACGCGCCACTTCATTGTCGGCCGATAACCGACCGAATAGTCCACAGATTTTTTGTGTTCAGTTTGACGAAGGCCCCTTGGCCGATCAATTCAACTCACACTGATTTTCTGCTCATCGTTTTTGTTATGACTTCATTATCATCTTGGAGTGAATATGCTAGGTCGAGAAGATACATTTCGAAAAATCGAACATAAGGCGACCTTTTTTCCAACACACTCAATTGAGGAATACAGTAGACGAGATATCCAGTCAGTGGATGACATGCTGTAACTTTCGCCTGACAACTTAGGTATATGTGTTGGACAGGCTTTCGAAGAGGTTCACAAAAGACGTCGATCATAACCCGCTGACGGTGTTGTCATCTAACAGAACATTGCATTTGCAACAGGTCTGTTTATATTCGTCTTTTTCAACTGTTTCCCCTAGAAACAGAGTCTTTTGAAGTAGGTCTCCATCCCTCCTCTCTTTTTTTACAGTAGTGATCCTCTTCCACAGCCGTATGGCAGTTAATATTGATGTTCCTGATATCCGTCACTTGAATACCAATGGGAACATACTGTTTTCTTTCGCATTTATGTCCCTGAAAGCTTCATTTATTCGCTCGTATTATTTCCTATTTGCGTCGCTGCTGGCCCTAGTCATCGATGATGGATCACTATCTACCATCACCTACCTAGCGCCGGGACACTTGTCTAACACACCTTAACCACAAGGCAGTCAAGCACCAAAACGGAGGGTTCCGTTGTAATCCATGCGGGTAGTAATTTTCAGCGAACTGAGGTGATAGTGCAAAATCTCCCCGACAAACCGACTCAGTACGAGCTATGGATACCATCTCGAGTAGGTTCTTCCCCCGCGGAGTTTGGGGGGAAGTTTGGTAGCTTGGAAAAATTATTGTGAATTGATTCACCACCCCCACAACTGGCGATTAGTTGTGCTGACGGCGACCAAGGACGGCCATTTACTTGTTTCACCAACGCAATTGCTGCAACCTTCATCAATATATAAATCACATGTAAAGCGAATGTGAAAAATAAGCCTGTTGAAAAACAGCACGCGTTAGAGAAGTAGAACCTTGACCCGACTTTCAACCTGATTCCGCATGGTACCCAAAGCACCTCGGAACAACTAACTTTGGAGGGAGCCATTGGCCGTACAATACTCTCAGTTGCAAAACGTTTGCGTGGAGGATAAAACTTTTTGCGCCAAATTGTTGCATTTTGTTGCGTATGTGCTCACACCAAAAATCATCCTAATCTACGTTCATATTTTCGCCACTCACCAAATTTCATTGTCCGCTGAAGCGATCACACTCCTGGTGGAATACTTTCCTAACATCGCTGAGACCTCGGGATTCCTATATGGGACTCAAAAGTTTGTACTCATACTCTGGACTCAATTGCCTGTCTCTTTTAGTTCATCAGGGACACGTCATAGCTTTCGAAAATTCAATTCGATTGAGCGAATACTGAGCGCCCTTTGGAGTCAAGCTTACAGTGGTTTTCAGACATCCGATCAAAGTAGCACCACCGCACCTGTGGGTTCGAAAAACCGAACTTGGTCGATTTAGAGATTTAGATTTTTAAGGAATTATCACTAGTAGGTACCATACAAAGCCCCCAGACCATCGCTACAGTTGTTCGCAAGATTTCTTCATTCAGCGTCAAATATTTTCATGACTACCAACGCACTTCTTCTTTTTTGATTATTTGCAAAGTCCTCAGTTCCTCGAGTTGAAAATTTTTGTAGGACCAACATCCGTTTACCAAGAAAGTGACACCATACGAGAATGTGTGGTTGGGATATCCTATCAGACTGTATCAAACCACTACTGTATAGTGTTCATAAGCCATGTTCACGTCGGTCTTACTGGCATTTTTCATTGATCGTTAGACTTTTTATGGGAAATTTCACCATTAGGTATCATGAGCCGCCTTTTGCGATCATCGGGATCAAACGCATGGATGATGACACCGAACTATGTCATGTGTTTTGGTCGACCATCATCTGCCAGAAAACGAATGTTGCATCGGTTAAAAGACGGAGATGTAACTGGATCGTAATTTTTGCAGCAAAGTATTGAAAGTCAACCTGAAAAGAGAAAACGTCGGTCACATTTGAGAGAGGTCATTAGCGAGAGGGGTTTGGGACTGATGGAGTACTGTAGCACGTATGGTCGATAGCGTGCGTAACGCGAATCACAAGGATATTCCACTTTGGCGAGTGCGGCAATGTGTTATCATTATAAATTGATCACGCGCACCAAACAGTTCGATTACAGCCACTGAAACCATCTTTGAAACCTATCATTCGGTAAACAGCAATCAATATTGTTAGACTTTTGATTTTGTACCAGAGTGAGTAACCTGTTGAACGAGTCTTCCATGCATGGAAATACAGAGGGATCCAAGGGCTGACGGTGAAATCGTAGAAACCTTGCTCGGCAATACAAGTTTACTTTCATCACCGAATGACGACCTGCAGGGTAAGTAATTCCTGTCGTGCTGTCTAGGCAGCTGCCGAGGCTTATGTGACCTTAGGTATCCCTGAACTTGAATTAGGCTCATCCGGTTTGCGTATCACAGCAACGGCTGTGTGACCGATGGGGCAGTTGTGCAAGCGATTGTTATTCTTCACTGTTGACGTCAATGACGCACAGCGGAAGCTCGCGATTTCGTTAATTGCATACGCAAACGGATGTTGTCTGTTTGGCAAGCTGGTCAAACTGTTCCACTTGTGTACCGTCGTCTTGGAGAATGTACGGAACTATGATGGTGGGCTTGGACGTATCTGGATTCATTCACTTCACTTTGCCAAGATGTGAAAAATCCAAGTGGAGCGAATAATGCGACTGCTGCACCATACAAATATAAGCCATAAATAATTATCAATTAAGCATGATTGAC